TTGTTTTGTTTTGTTTTGTTTTTTTAGCTGAGCCATTCTGCCATCTGTTGGCAGCTCAGTTCCAGCCCGGAATGGAACCCGGGACCCTGTTGCTCAGAGCTCTCATGCTTGAGCAAGTTCTTAACCAACTGAGCCACTCGGCCGGCCCTCTATATCACAGTTTTAATTACTAGAGCTTTGTAATATAGTTTGAATCTGGCAAGACAATCCCCGTCTTTTTCTTCCTCTTTTACAAAATTAAATATTCTTACATATTTAAGACATCATAGGAGTTTTAACACCAGGTCCACAAATTCTATTTTGGAATTTTTATTGGTAATGTATTGATTTTTCAAAGATTAATTTGCGGAAGAAATTTTATCTTTATTTTGTGGACAATGGTTGTGTGTGAGCGTGTGGGGATGTGCGTGTTTACCAAACGAACTTGGGAAATAAGGATGCCAATACAGGAAGGTGCAAAACAAATAGGTCAGTGAAGTTCCCAGAGGTCCAACTGATGGGCAGAGTCTTGGGATATTGGGAAGATGAAAGGGAAGGTTATATGTCTCCGTATTTTGCGAGCTGACTGTGCTTCTGCAGGTATGGGTGGGACCCTCCAATGTGGCAAGCCGGCTTACATGTAACTGGCACACAGAGGACCTCAATAAACGTTTGTTGAATCAGTGCACAAACGAATGAATCAATTAATTTTTGGAGAGCTTATTGTATGTCAAACAACCTGCTAATACTTTTCATAAATTATTTCTAATCCTTATAACAACCCTGCCAGGCGGGTACTATGACCCCCATTTAATAGGTCAGGGAAGCTGAACCTCAGAGAAGGGAAGTCCCTTTTCCATAGCCAAATGCTGGTTTTTCTTTTTCCAGAAGTCATTCATCAAAAGGACCAGATCTAATTTCTACCCTTCCACTCACTCAACCATTTATCAAGGATTTATTAAACACTGTGTAGCACAACGACCTAGTACAACAGCCGCTCTAGAAGACACAAGAATAGGCGGGGCGCTCCGGGGAAGACTAGCTGGGCGGCTGGACTGTGGGTACCCAAAGAGCGAGGTTTCTGGTGCGCACGTCCAGGGAATGTAGCTGCCTCCGTCTCCCAGTTATAGCTTGGCTAAATTGAGGTTGAAGCGTGGTCCAGGAAGCCGATATTACGTGTATTGGCCGAGAGGGGGCGCGGTTCCGCAGCTAGAAGCATAGCCTGAAGATCCTCTACGCGGCGACTGGCCCTTGGTGCACAGGCGCAGAGGACCCAAGGAGTGGTTTAGTATCTTTCGGAGGGTTAATTTGAGAGGAGGAGGCGTGACTTAACCAAATTACCTCTCGCTGATTTGCCTCTGTCTCTGAGGGCGTGGTTTAGGATCCCCCTTCTCGGAATGAGGGTCGGCCGATCTAGTTTTCCCTTCGCGTCGGAGGCGTAGCTTAGGGCGGGCCTTTGAACCAGCCCTCGACAATTGGTCGCGTCACTCCGAGGGCGGGGACCAGCGAGCCGTCCATCCTCCGTGCGGTCACTTCCTGTGGAGTTTCCCCAGCCCAGGGAGGAGGGGGAAGAGGATGAGGGGGAGGAGGGCGGTCGTCCGGGGTTAGGTTCGGGGGTGTTGGTCCGTTCAGGGCGGGGGATGACTCACAGCCCATCCCATCTCCCCGACGCCGCCCGCCCGCGCAGAGCTCACTCCATGGCTTAGCGGAGGAGGCGGTGGCGAGCAGGGGGAGGGGGACTCTTATTTTGTTAGGGGGACCGGGCCGAAGCCCGACCGGCCTGGCAGGGCTCGCCCGGGGCTGGGCGTCATGTCTCATGCAGCCGAGCCAGCTCGGGACGGCGTAGAGGCCAGCGCGGAGGGCCCTCGAGCCGTGTTCGTGGTGTTGGAAGAGCGCAGGCCGGCCGACTCGGCCCAGCTGCTCAGGTGCGGGGCCGCCTGGGGCCGGTAGTGCTGGCTGGGGTTCCCGGGAGCCTGATCTGTGGGCAGCGGGGGCCCAGACTAGGATTGGAGGCCCTCGGCCTAGGCTTGGAGGACGTCGGGGCGCCCGTCTTGGTGGGGGGTGCACCTAAAGAATCCGGCGGTGGCCTGCTTGGACTGAGGCTTAAAGGAGTCGTGGAAGTGCATTAAGAGAGGCCTGGATCAGATTTGGGGGTACCCTTGACTGGGTATAGAGGGACATGTTGTGTTGTATTCGGAAACTGGTCTAGGGTAGCTGAACTTGGGGGAGAGACTCTGATTAGAGGCTGAATTTGGGGTCCTTGAGTCAGGTACGAGGGGGATGAATTTGAGGGGGAGCTCTGTAGGTGAGGCACTGATTTTAAGGGACTTTTCCCCTCAGTGTCAGAGAAGGGGTCCTGGGGGACAGAGGTGCCGTCTTGGGAACTTGGTGATTCCCAGTGGCTGGTTGCTGGAGACTGTGTTTGGGGATAAGGTGAATCTGAAAGGATTTGGGGGTATCTCAGATATGCTGCGTGGGACCAGCCTTGCGAGTGTGAGTGAGCAAGAGAAGCAACATTCATCAAGACTTGACCAGAATAATCCTTGCCCAGCCACCCAGCTGGGTCAGATCCCAGGGATAGTGGAAAAGCCCTCTTCCCACACCCTGGTCTGGACTTGAATGGGACAGACCAGCAGACAGAGGTGATGGAGATGCTGTTACCTCTTACTTAGCTCAGAGAATAAGGCCTCAGACCTTATCTGGGAATCCAGAAGAGGGTCTTCTTGTTCCTGCTGCCACCTGCCCTAGTCTCTCAGCAAGCCAAGTCCTGCTCACCCCCTACACACACATGTTCTTTTTATCTCACCCTCCCAGCCAGCCTGTCTCTCAGACCCTGGAGATAATCTTGAATCTGTCGTTATAGTTGGAATGAGCACCAATTGCACCATCCCCACCTGGGTGGGTCCTTCTTGGTCTCTTATCCTCATTTCCATCAGTGGCCTTGGAAACCCCAGCCCCCCCTTCGCCCCCAACTTCTGTGCAATGGGTGTGTGAGATGGGAGGGGGCATTGCCTTCTGTCTGGGATTGTGCTGAGCTCAGCGGCTCCTTGAGCTTCCTCTTCCCGACTTCCTGGGTGGTTTTAGGGCCCCGTCTGAGGGTGAGGAAAGGAAGACAGATCCTTGGGGAGGGGAGAGAATTCTTGTTAGGTGAAGTCACCCACAATCTCTGAAGATTCTAAATATTTGACTAAATTGAAGGATGCATATCCATCCCATGCATGTTCATGTCCTCTACACACTAGGGTCTTGCACCTAGCATGGAGGGCTGAGCAGGAGACTTTCCGTGTATCGATTCACCATCTTCTAATACCTTTATAACAACCTAGATCATCACAGTAGTGGGAATAGATGAAAGGGAGAGGTGTATATGGCTTCTTTTGTGTGTGAGTGGGTGTTGGTATTGGAGGTGTGTGCATTTTGATCTATCCAAAAATCAGGAGAGCGCAGGGCAAGCTCATCCAGCCAAGAAAAGAAAGCTCGCATAAAGCATATCTTCCAACGAAATTCTCCCTCTTGTAAATCCAGATTGTTGGACCGAGGGGAGACTGATATTTCCATTTTGATTTTGGGTACGTGGTGGCATCCCAGGAACTCTGGCAGGGGCGGGCTGAGGGCGGGGACTTCTTCACAAAGTGATGGATCCTCCGGTAAAGTCAATGTTGGACCCCAGTTCTTTGTGATGCATTCGATCTGTGTTACAATGGGCTGTTATGCTGAAGGATGCCTCTAGCAATGGGCTGTTAAGCTGAGTGATGGCTCTACCGTGCTGCCTGTGTGTAGATAAACGTGGGCTCACATTCAGCAGCCAGAAAAACAGTAGGGGGTGTGGAGGCTGGGAGGGATCTGAATACAAAGTCCGGAAGCCTGCAATTTAAATCCTCGTTCCTAAACTCCTCATTTCCATTTTTCTCCAAACCCAGGTTGTGGTTACACGTGAGTGTTACAGCTAGGAGTTGGGATCCAGGCACTCTTATTATTTTGCTCTTGTTTTGAATCTTCAGAGACTATGACTAACAGAGCAAAAGAGAATGGGGAGGGGAGAGGGGTGTAAGGAGGGGAGAAGACATGGGAATTCATGGTGGTGGTACCCAGCCGAGTGGCTGAATGTTAGCGATACATTCAGAACACTTTACCTCCATCTCTCCCGCCTTCTCTATCTCCCTTTTTCTCTTTCTTTGGGGAGAGTAAAGTCTCCATCTAAAAACTGACCACCAACCCCTACTACCCCGCACCCTCAGCCTGAACTCCTTGCTTCCGGAATCTGGGATTGTTGCTGACATCGAATTAGAAAACGTCCTTGATCCTGACAGCTTCTACGAGCTCAAAAGCCAGCCCCTACCACTACGCTCAAGGTATGTCTCTATCTGACTCCCCTTCTCAATTTTTCAGGCCCCTCCATCCACTCTTGGCGGGCAGAGGCCCTCAGTGCCAGCCCAACCCGTTCTTTCCAGCAGCCTGTATTGTCCAGATAGTAAAATGAGGGGCCACAAAGAGCATGTTTCAGGAAAGCAGGTGGCCAAGCTGAACTAGGATCTCAGTAACGTGGACTAGACCTCCCCAGCCTTCCCCCACCCCACCGACATACCCATTCATTCATGGCTGCTTAGAGAGCCCAGAGACCAGGCATGGCCTTCTCAAACTCTGAGCCCAAGTGGGAGGAGCCACACCCACTACCCCTGCTCTCTCCCTCCCCCATTCAACAAACTCACCCACCCCCCCAGCCCTTGAGGAACCCTGCAGGTCTTTTCTTTCCCCAAGCTGGGAAGTCTAAATGTGCTGAGTCATGGGCCTGGGCTCTAAGAGAGGGGAGGGGACCTGGAAGAGGGGCAGGAAGAGAGGATTGTGAAATTTCTGAGATTTTCAAGACTGACGGGCTCCTGGAACTAGATGCCCAGGCAGGGGAAGAAGAATGGCCTATGATTACCCACTGTAGCCTGATGCCCACCCCTAGGAGCTCAGGGAGCAACGCATCTCCAGCCCCAAATTGAGCTTATGAGCCCTCTGTATCCACATCTATTACCACAGCCTCAATTCTGCTTCCTTCCGCTTTCCTTTAAATAGGCTAAAGCGCCTCTCCCAGAGCCAAGCAGTAGCATCCCTGCTTAATATATGAACTGGCCCAAATCCTGGCTTCACTATAAGGACTGAGGGCTAAAATTCCCCTACCAGACTGACCTCTGAGGGCTGCTACTAGGCCTGGTTCCTGTGATTACTCCATCATACTATGACTCCTTAGGTTTGGGTTGAGACTTTTAGCTTACCTGTGGCCCCATATTTCCCATTCCACAGCCTCCCAATATCACTGCAGGCCACACCAGCCACCCCAGCTACCCTGTCTGCATCATCTTCTGCAGGGGGCTCCCGGACCCCTGCCATGTCATCATCTTCATCGCGTGTCTTGCTGCGGCAGCAGCTAATGCGGGCTCAGGCCCAGGAGCAGGAGAGGCGTGAACGTCGGGAACAGGCTGCAGCCTCTCCCTTTCCCAGTCCTGCACCTGCCTCTCCTGCCATATCTGTGGTCGGCGTCTCTGCTGGGGGCCACACATTGGGCCGTCCTCCCCCTGCTCAGGTGCCCAGGGAGGTGCTCAAGGTAAGGTCCAGAGGCCCTGGGAGGGGGCTTCTGGTGACTGGTCATGATGGATTTTAGGTGAGGTCCTGGGGCTCTAAGCAAGATCACAGGTACTGTTAAAGTAGGCTGTGCTAGTGCCTCATTGTGTTTATAGTTTCAAGTGTATTATTGCGGAGTTGTGAGGGGCTCTTGGAGGCCACAGGCTGTCTTGGACCATGGAGGGTCGTGAGTGCCCCGAGTGGTCCCTGGGGTCTATGGAGTGGCTTTAGTATAGCCTCATTGTATGTGTGATGCATTAGGAGTTCTTTGGCCATTGGGGTATCTTGGGAAGCATTGCGTAGTTCCTGCGTCTGTTAGGTGATGTCAAAGATGAGGGAGGAGTCTTGGGAACTGACGGTGGTGTTGGTAGGGGACTCCAGAAACTGAGAGATGTGCCAGCTATGGGTGGGTCATGGGAGCTGTGAGGGATTCCTGAGAAAGGGAATTTGGAACCTGGGGAGACTTACCAGTATTGTGGGGTGGTTCTCAGATTTTGGGCCTAGTTTATAGGCCTGAGCCTAGAAACAGATGACTTTTGAGGATGGGACTGGGGCTCAGAGTCAGTCACCGTTCTGAGCCCTGTTCTACCTTGCCCCCTCCTGTACTTCCTCCCCCTTATCCCACAGGTGCAGACCCATCTGGAGAACCCGACACGCTACCACCTACAGCAGGCACGCCGTCAGCAGGTGAAACAGTACCTGTCCACCACACTTGGGCCCAAGCTGGCTTCCCAGGCCCTCACCCCACCACCGGGGGCTGCTAGTGTGCAGCCACTCCCTGCCCCCGAGGCCACCCATGCTACTGGCCCCACAGGCAGCGCCCCCAACAGCCCCATGGCGCTACTCACCATCGGATCCAACTCAGAGAAGGAGGTACGTGGCTGTAGAAGAGCCTCCTATGTTCTCCACCCCACCTTCTTCTAAACTTAACTCTTCCATGTTTACTTATTCTCCCAGATTGATGATGTCATTGATGAGATCATTAGCCTGGAGTCCAGTTACAACGATGAGATGCTCAGCTATCTGCCCGGAGGCCCTGCGGGGCTGCAGCTCCCCAGCACGGTGAGGCCCTAAGATGGGAAGTTGTCCTGACAATTAGCACATCTCTCTATCACTGAGACTACACCCACGCTGGCTGTATGTATAAGAGTCCCTTGCCTTGGATTATATTAAGATACAGGGGGAGGCTGTATGATGAAAATGGGGCATAGCAATGCCCTGGGACCTTACGTTGGATTGCATGGAGAGGTGGACATTGTAGATTTTGATACATACAGGGTGGGGAACTTCATGAAGATATTAGGGCACACCGAGGTGCTTGAGCTTCACCGTGGGAAACACTAAGAGAACGGGACTTTTGTAGCATTTTGAATGTGCCAAGAGATTATGATACACAAAAATCTCAAAACTTGGTATGGGTTAACCTTGAAGTGATTCCAGTATACCATGTCTCTTGCAGTGAACTGTGCCAAGAGGCTTGGGCCTTGTAGACAGTGGATAAAACTTTCTAGAGCAAGAGATATACCAATAAATTGTAACATTCTGCTGCTGGGACATTCCAAGAGCCCCATTACTTGCTTTGGGACATACCACGTGGCTGTAGCTTTGCTTCTTTCCAACTTATTTAGAGGATAGATGCATATATAAAAATGGTACTGGTTTATCAGAACTTTTTATTGATTTAGACACATCTAGAGATTGGGACCTCGGGGCTTCAAGAGATGAAATCTCATCAAGAGGTGGGACTACTTATTTATGGATTAGTATGTTGCCCTGGAGTGTATATCCAGGAGAATGCAAAGGAGAGAAAACAATCTAGACAGGCTTAAAAGCAGTGCTAGTTATATAGTTGGACAAGAAATCCTGGGAGATCAGAATGTGTAAGAAGATACTAGAGTCAGAACCTTGGTGCATGGCACCTGGAGACTATATATGTATGATGCTGCAACACCACCACAGCAAAAGACTGGAGATTGGGCTGGAACTCCAGAAGATCAGATTTGGGATGGAACGTTGTCATGACAATTTCCCAAGGTCTGAGAAGATTGGGTTGGAGTGTTCCAAGAATGCTGAATTGGAATGTTGTGCTGGGGGTTGGGGGTGGGGGCAATGTACTAAAATGTTGCATAGGAGCCAACAAAGACCTGAGAAGGGTGGTTTTGCAGCATTTCTTCTCAGAGCTAGCTCCCGGGTTTGGGAGATGGGCTTCAGAGGTCACTGAGGGATTGGAGGGGCTAAGCCAGGCAGGCTGTATCCCCCAGCAAAGCATGGTAGGTTCACTTGACCCTGTCCTCCTTTGTTGAGTCACCATGTGAAATTCCCTTGAAGGAGAAGGAAGGATTGCCATACTGAGTCAGCCAATCCGTGCATTAGGGGGCCTGTCCTTGGGTTTGTGTGGAGGGTCGGGAGCCTCATTCTGAGACGGGGCTGAGCCTGGGTTCTGTTCGCAACCATCCTTTCTCTGCCCCCAGCTGCCTGTGTCAGGGAACCTACTTGATGTGTACAGTAGTAGTCAGGGCGTGGCTACACCCACCATCACTGTCAGCAACTCCTGCCCAGCTGAGCTGCCCAACATCAAACGGGAGATCTCGGGTAAGGGCCAGGGTTAGCCCCATGTCTGCCATCTCTGGGGGTGGGCCTGATTCTGGGGGGAGGGGTTTAATCAGACAGAAACAGGAGGACTCTTTGCCCTCTTTTTCCCCATGATATCCGGGGTCTTGTTTTCACCCCGCTGACTCATCTTGGGTTTAACAAATGGCCTGTAACTACGGCTTGTTAAAAAACAGTAAAAAGAGTGGCATTGTTTTTAAAAAATCACTTTCCCGCCTGTGCCCACCAAAGTCTACCTCGGCATCACATGCTGCCCACCATCTTTCCTGTGCCGAGACCCTGACCACCTCCACTCTCTTTCAGAGACGGAGGCCAAGGCCCTTTTAAAGGAACGGCAGAAGAAGGACAATCACAACCTAAGTGAGTAAGAGTGCATGCCCTTGTCAGCGTGTTATGCAACCCTGTTTCACTCTGCCCCAGCCTGCCTTGGGGTGGGGAGGGGGGTGGGCTGTCACTGTAACGGCTTCCCAACACCCCAGTTTCTCCTCTTCTGTCCTTGGCCTGTTGATGACTCTCTCTTGCCTCCATAGTTGAACGTCGCAGGCGATTCAACATTAACGACAGGATCAAGGAGCTGGGCACCCTCATCCCCAAGTCCAGTGACCCGTGAGTCTGGGCCTGGAGCCCCTGTCAGGCGGAAGGTGGGGTGGGGGCCCTGGTCCCCTAAAGTTGTTCCCAGGGGGTTCCAATCTGGGTGGGAACCGCCCAGCAGTTCTACTTTTCTCTGGCCCCTTCCTACCCAGCTTTCCTCACCCTGAGCAGGGTCGCAGCCCCTGACTATGTCCTCACCTAAAATTTTAGGTTCATGACGTTATGGTCCCTGTGCCTCGTCTGGTCCCTGTAGGACATAGGCACATAGTTTGCTGTTTATTTCATGCTTCCTTTATTTATTCAGGAAACATACTGAGCTTCTGATTTGTGCCAGATACCATGCTTGGTTCTGAGGCAACTAGAGGGAACAAAATAGACAAAAATCCCTGACCTCACGGAATTGATATTTTAGTGGGGTCAGACAGATGGCAAACAAGATAAATAAATAAAACTCATGCGATTATGATGAGTGTTGTGGTGAAGAATAAAGAATAGGAGGAAGATGGGAGAATGCTGGGGAGGCTTGCAATTTGGGGTGAGGAAGGCGGGGATAGAACAGACCTCAATGGGCAAGGAAGCATTTGAGTAAACAGCCTAAGGAGGGGAGGCAGTAACTGTGTGGGTATCTGGGGAGAAAGAGTGTTCGAGGTAGAGTGTATAGCTGGCCTGAGGTGGGAATGGTTTTCCATGTCCTGGGAGCATTGAGAAGCCACTGTGACTGTAATGAGATGAATCAGGGTCTGAGGTGAGGATCAATGAGGGATCAGGTCAGAGAGGGCTTCCTAGCTTGGGCTGGGGGCAATATTGGAAGGTTCTAGTAAGGGGGTGAGCATTCCATACCCTTGATGTACCCCTACCCTAAGTTCTAGGCATGGGGAAGGGTGCTCCATCTACCTGGTGCAATCCCCAGCTCCCAAGAGATTCCATATGCAGCACTCGCTTCTTTCTTCCTTCTCTGGCCCCACAGGGAGATGCGCTGGAACAAGGGCACCATCCTGAAAGCCTCTGTGGATTATATCCGCAAGTTGCAGAAGGAGCAGCAGCGCTCCAAGGACCTGGAGAGCCGGCAGCGGTCTCTGGAGCAAGCCAACCGCAGTCTGCAGCTCCGAATTCAGGTCTGGAAGGAGGAGGTGGTGGCAGGGGTGAGAAGGGCTTCCTGCAGGCAGAGGCAGGGGAAGGACTGGCCAGGATTTCCCCTCCTGGCATACTTGGGGGATCCTGGGGCTTCCCAACTCCCATGATGATGGTGATAAGTAGTAATCATAACAGTAACAAAAATAATAATGGGTACTGGCTAGCATACCTTGTGTTTATCTTATACCACGCACTGTGACAAGAGCCTTATCTCCATTTTCTAAGGTAATCATCACAATAACCCTATGAAACAGGGACCATTATTATACCCATTTTACAGATTGGGGCTCTGAGGCTCAGAGCCCTTAAACAACTTGCCTGAAGCTATGCAACTAGTGGCAGGCTGAATGCCTACCAGGACAACTTGCCCTTTTAACTGTTACACTCCTCTGCCTCTGAGGGGCTCTGAACTCCATCTTATCCCACACCTACCCCCTACTTTTTACAGGAGCTGGAACTGCAGGCCCAGATCCATGGTTTGCCGGTCCCTCCCACCCCAGGGCTGCTCTCCCTGGCCACAACTTCAGCCTCAGACAGCCTCAAGCCAGAGCAGCTGGATATTGAGGAGGAGGGCAGGCCAGGCACAGCGACCTTTCATGCAGGGGAGGGGCCTGCTCAGGGTACTCCTCATCAGCAGCCCCCAGTGCCACCCTCGGATGCCCTTCTGGACCTGCACTTTAACAGTGACCACCTGGGGGATCTGGGGGACCCTTTCCACCTGGGGCTGACGGACATTCTGATGGAAGAGGAGGAGGGGGTGGTGGGGGGACTGTCGGGGGGTGCCCTGTCTCCACTGCGGGCTGCCTCTGACCCTCTGCTGTCTTCGGTGTCCCCCGCTGTCTCTAAGGCCAGCAGCCGCCGCAGCAGCTTCAGCATGGAGGAGGAGTCCTGATCAGGTCTCACCCCTCCCCTGGGATTTCCCCACCCAGGAAAGGAGGACAAGTTAGGATGAAGCCCTCTTCCTTTTCCCACACCCTCCCATGAGACTGTCGTGCCCAGGTGTTCTGGGGGAAGAGATGGGAGGAGGAGGCAGGTGACACCCTGCCCCTTCCCCCACAGGCCAGGCCAGTGGTGAAATCAGGGCCTGTCCCCCAGAGATCACTGCCTCATCCCTGCCCCGTGGGACCCACCCGTGCCCGGGTGAGGGAAGGAGACTGGATGAGGTCCATCCCAGTCCCTTGGGGACTGTCCTAGCCAGGTCTCCTGGGATAAGGAGGTGTGGGGATGCTCCCCCCATCCCCTGTCTTAGAACTGCCCGTCTAGTCCATCCTGGCAAGGCAGGGGAGTCAAAATGATAGAGTTTCAGCCCTGGGGATTTAAGTCCTACCCCTTTCCCATGACCCCTGTCCTGCCTAGTCCAGGAACAGAACTGAGGATGAGAGCCAGACCCTTCACCTGGGAACTCAGTCTTCCAGCAATAAAAGGAGCCAGGCCCCGCCCCTTCCCTACAGGAGCAGCCCAGCGCGGGTATTTCGGGCTTGGAGGAGTCTTAGAGCTCAGGCCACTATGTGGAGATGACAGCCCTTGTCCCTCAGTAACATCCCATCCAAGCATTCCACTGAAGGGAGGAGTGGTACTTAAGCACCCCGCCTTAACTAGGGACCAAGGTGACCTAACCTAGGAGGGCTCTGAGCAGACTTTGCCCTTGGGGAAGGGGGCAGATCTTGAAATCTTGTGGGTTAACATTCCAGACCTAGAATAGGAGTGAGAGTTAGACCCCCTACCCTTGGGCAGAGTCCTGTCTTCTTCCTTGAAGGGCAGTTTGGGGAGATGATGGGGGATAGGGGGTACTGAGTCCAGGTTCCCAGAGCCAGCATCCCATTACTTTTTTTCAACATGTAGAGGAATAGGATGAAGGGAGGGGCCCTTTTGGGGATTTCTCCAGCCCAGGAAAAAGTAGAAGCTTGTCCCAACAAGGCAGAGGCTTGGAAGAAAGGTTGCAAAAACACGTACTCTTTTATCTGATTTTTTTTTTACTGACCCTCTACTTGTAAGTTAGGCCACCCCCCAACCTCTGGCCTCCACCCAGCTCTCCATTTGGAGGCCTCTTCCCCATCGTCATTTCAGAGTTATGAACGGACACTCCCCACTCATCTCCACCCTCCCTACCACATACACCCAAGATTGTCAGCTTTGGATTGTTGAAGCCAAGCCCCAAGGAGGGTGTACTGAAAGGTCTGTAGGTTTGTGATTAAAATAATAAATGCTAAGCGTGTTTGATGCGCTTTTAACTTTGGCAAAGAGTCTCCTGTCCTTTTGACTATGCAGTGAGCATGGCTCATGCAGGCCAGGAGGAAGGAAGGTTCTTGAAAGAAACAGATTTAAGAGGGATGAATAAAATAATTTAGCTACAACGGGGCTGGAGGGAAATAACCTGCCAACAAAAACAATCTCCTTAACTACCTGCCAGGCACCCTCCTAACTGTTGGCAAATGGTTCACCTTATTCTAAAAGGAATACTCATCAAGGAAATACTGATTTCTTATTCCTGTTTCATATTTGAAGAAACCAAGGAATATAACTATTTGAAGATAAACAGCTGGTAAATGGATGAAGAGCTAAATGGTAGGCAGATGAAGGAGGGCTCTAGTTGGGAAAATGTCACTGAGGGCAGAGGGGCAAAGATTTTCTTGCACTTTTGAAACATAACGAAGTGTGTGAAAATAATCTGCTGGCAGACAGTAGAGGCATTCCAGAGGGAGAAAGGGCAAAGAAACCATAAAGGTCAGGAATAGGCAAGCAATTCCATTTTGGAACAGATGTTGACATTCTGGGGGAATTTTATAGAGGTGAACAACAAGTACCTTGAAGGCTGGGAAAAAGTATTTCTGGAATTGTTCAACCAGACCCGACTCCCAGGACAGGCATCAGGCCTGAACCTGTGTCTCCCCCAGCAGTCAACCCTTGCGCACTGGGACTTGGGTCCTGTGTCTTCCCCAGCTGACTGAGCACAACACTTGCTACTCCTTTCTAGCCTATCATCACACTGACCCCTAAGGCCTGGTTGTTGAATCTACCACTAGACTGGTGGCTCCCTGATACCTTTATTTTTGTCCTCAAATTTGTCTTATTCTCTAGAAAATATGTAACAGCTAGAATTTTTTTTTTCTGAAATAATTTTAGAGTTACAGAAGACTTGCAAAGATGTTGGAGTTTCCTTACCCCTCACTTAGCTCCCTCTAGTGTTAAAAACGTGTTACATAGCCATGGCACATTTGTCAATGCAAAGGACATTTGACACAGTACTAAGGAACTCCAGACTTCATTTGGATTTCACTTTTTTCCACGAATGCTTTTTTTCTGTCCTAGGATTCAAGTAAAGATACTGTATTTGTAATCTCTTTCTGTGTAGCAAGTTACCACAATCTTAATGGCTAAAAAAACGCATTCATTATATCTCAGTGTTTGTGGGTCAGGAATTCAGGCTGGTTTAGCTAAGTCCCCCTACTCCAGTGGCTCTCGCCAGGGTGCAATCAAAAGATGTTGGGTGGGATTGAGGAAGGATCTGCTCTGAGCTGCTGTGGTTATTGGATTGGCAGGATTTAGTTCTCTGCAGCCTGTTGATCTGTGGGCCTCAGTTCCTTGCTGGCTGTCAGCTTGAGTTGCCCTCAGTCTTTGCCATTTATGCCTTTCCTTCCGTGAAGCATCTCATAGCATGGTAGCTTGCTTCATCAAAGCCAGCAAGTGAGAGTCAGCTAGCAAAATAGAAGTTACAGTCTCTTGTAATCTAATGGAAGTGTCACCCCTCAGTGTCCCGGCATTCTACTGGTTAGAATCAAGGGGAGGGGATTACAAAGGACCATCATTAGTAGGCAGGGACCACTGAGAGACCATCTTAGCTCCCTACCACAGATACCACATTGCATTTGGCTGCCATATCATGGTTTCTGACAGTTTCTCAGTTTGTCCACTGAGAAGGCCTAGACATTGTGCTATTCCAGAAGCAACAAGCACATCTAGTATTCAAATCTTGGTTTCTAAATGCTATTAATTGCTATTAATTATTAGAAATAAGATGCTTTTATTTCTAATAAAAGAAGCCAGGGCTCCTTGGAGAAATGTCTGATTTTAAGATCAGGGTAGGGAAATACAAGATGAGCCTGGAACGTTGTGTAGTACCAGAAAGGAGGTACTAAATATATATATATCAAGGATACAGGAACCAACCTGAAAGAGCTCCCAGTGGCTAAAGCTGGAATTGGAGCAACAACAAAAAATGATAGTATTGGATTATAGTCCAAAAATAAAATAAATTTCCATGACATATAAGTGATGTGATTGAACAAATAACTTCTGGAGATAGGAGAACTGCCTTATGTAAGAATTCCAAATAAAGATAGAAGGAATGAAGGAAATAGAAAATTACCATTAGAATACCACAGTAGTAATAGCTGCAGACCTGATTCACTAAATGCTAAAATTAATGGTCAAAACTAAGGTGAACACAATAGTTGCACAGCCTTAAAGTATCACCTCCATAATATTAAATACAAGCATACCTCAGACTTATAACAGGGTTGGCTCCAGCCCAACGCAATAAAGTGAATTGTAATCTTTTTGCTGGTGGAGGGTTTTGCTTTCATTTTGTAAAACAAAACCAATAAAGCACAATGCAGTAAGATGAGGTATGCCTGTATTTGATTCTCCCAGAGTTGGAGCTTAATTCCCCTTCTCCTCTTGAATATGAGCTGGACTCAGTGACTTGCTTCTAATGACAAGAGTATGAAAAGTACAACAGTAACTTCCAGTGGAGAATCCTGGCAGACACCGCCTTAACCAAGAGATGAATGTTAACACAAGTAATAAGATGGCTGTCACGTACTCCCTGATGTGATGCACTGAGAAGGACATTTCACTTTCATAGTATTCTTCCCCCAAACCCTATAACCCCAGTGTAATCATCAGGAAATAGCAGCGACATGCAAATTGAGGGACAGGACATCCTGCGCACTACTTAACTAATGTTCTTCAAAATTTTCAAGATCACAAAAGACAAGGCAAGACGGGTTGTGTATTTAAGCAAACACAGTTGTTTTTTTCTCCATCTGTCAACTCAGCCTTTTTTTTTTTTGGCATGAGACGGAAACTGGTGTCATTCTACAGATACCTTTATCAAGGCTCCCGGGTGTCCTATACTCTGCTGGATGAAGTGTGTTGGCTGAGAAGGGAAGCACACAGTGAGCCTGCTCATACCTTCCTTCTGCCTGGGTCAGTTTCAGGACCCCTTTAGGGAAGTGGAGCCTAGGTAGAGAATAGATATACAGCTGAGCTGGTGGGGGAGAGATCAGATTTCGGGATTGAGTGTAGCAAGCATGGTACTGGAGACGAAGGAGCTGCGTAGAGGCAGATTTCCAGAAATCACCATAGGTGTTTTAGGTCTTTGGCCAAATATTATACTAGGCTGTGCAGACTTAGAATGAGATACTGTGAGTCCAAGCAGAGATCAGTCCTAGGTTTCTATGAACTGAACGGATGCCTTCACAGTTCTGAGAGACCGGTATTTTGACCAGCCTGAGTGGACAGTCCTCACACAGTACCGCACTGAGAAATAGACATACCAGAAAAGCCCTGCCTTAAGAGTTCAGCCACCTCAGCCCTAGAGTGGCTAGAGATCCTCTCTAAAATATCCTAAAACATGCCTCAAAAGAATCAAGAGGAATTGTGGGATTTAGAATGTATGTAGATGTAATATACATAATAACACAAAGGACAGGATTTGGGAAATGAGACTATACTGTTGCAAGGTTTTTCCACATGAGGTGGAATGGTACAGCATTAACTTTAAGTTGACTGTAATAAACTAAGGATGGATTTTGTAATCACCAGGGCAACCTCTGAAGAAAAGAATGAAAACAGGTACAGATGAAAAGCCAGTAGAAGAACAACAATTAAATATTAAAATATAATTGGTTAACTCAAAAGAAGGTGGGAAAGGAGGAACATAGGATAAAAAACCAGAAGGAACAAATCAAAAACAACATTGTGATGGAGCTTAACCTCGCCATATAAATAATTCCATAAAATATAAATGAACTAAAAGCTCCCATTAAAGGCAAGGTTTTTTTTTAAAGATTTTATTGGGGAATTCGGGGGCGGGGAACAGCTCTGAGGAATGGGGAAGGGGAACAGACAAGTTGCTGTCTTTTTGTTCTTCAGTCTAGTTGAGGACATCGCTTCACTGGCCCTTGTTGGTATTATTGCACTGTTCCCGGGTGAGGCAGATCGGTTGCTGGCCACTTGACGGCCACTCACAGTGACTCTAGGCGGCTGACGGCGGTTCTTGGCCAGCTCATGACAGCTGCCGGCCACTCACAGTAGCTTACAGGAGCCCACTGCAGCCTACGCCGTCGCCGGCGACTCATGGCAGCCCAGCTCCAGGTCGAGCTGTTATTCAGCATCTTAGCTGTAGAGGGCACAGCATCACTGGTCCTAATGTGGGATCCGAACCTGGGCCCTGCTGCTCAGAACTGGTGTCCTAAGCCAACTCTTAACCAATGTGCCACTTGGCCAGCCCAAGGCAAGGATTTTAAGACCAGAAAAAAAAAAAAAAGACCCAACCAGAGCTGGGATTAAGGTAAGGTAAGTGAGGCACTTGCCTTGGGTGCAAAATTTAAAGGGATGCCAAAAACTTAGTAATAGGGATGAATAATATTTTAATGCAATATTGAAAAAAGTAAAAATGCAAAGCAATCCACGATGCCCAAAATATCAAAATTTTACATCATGACAGCATTCCATCCTGCACTTGGACTACCCTGAGAATTATGTAAGTTGTGTGGTGGGGTGGGGAGCGGGCAGGGTCAATGATATAAAAATCTTTCACACTTGCAATTTCTTTTGAAGGTCATTGTTCCATCCTGAGGGAAGTCGACAAGTTTTTTCCATTGTTTATAGCTGCAATGTACAGTGTTGTAAGGTAAAAGGGAAAGTTTCATTTTGTTACATGTTTGTGTGATTTTTAAATATTAACAACAGTTAAGGAATACAAATGTTATTTACATGTGTTAATATATTTGACTTTTCATAAGTGAAATCTGATCAAATATCATTTTCTGAATAAACTTTTTTTTACCATGAAAAAAAGTCAACCAGGAAACATTTAAACTTTATTCACTTAAAACATTAATAAGTAGTTCACTGTTATTAAATTCTTCTATAAAAAATTATTTTCACAATTTGTTTTTCGCCAGATTTGCATGGAAATCTGCATAGTTTTCTGCTGTTTGTAATGATTGATTTTTGTATTTTTAAAATATAAATTGGTATGCACATCTATTTTATTATTAAATATCATAATTTATATGACTCTTAATTAAGTACATATTATGCATATTTACTCTAATTAAATATTGCATTAATTAAAATAAACATATTTTACATTTATATTAAATTTGATTAATATCTAGACAATTATGGCATCTAAAAAATAAAGTGGTGCAATGTTCAGTAAAAAAGAAAAATATGTGCAGAAATTAATCAAAATGATAGGGGAGAAGTACAATTTTTGCTATAAAGTATTGTAACTACTGAAAATGATCAAGTTTATTTTTTAATTTTAATTTTTTTCAGCTTTATTGAGATAGAATTGACATACAATACTCTGTAAGTTTAAGATGTATAACATGATTTGACACCGTATTTTGCCATATATAATGTGCACTTTTTTGCCCAAATTTGTGAAGGAAAAATAAGGATGCACATTATACATGGGTAGTAGTAATTCCGTATCTATATAAAGGTTTTTAATTTTTTAATTTATGCTTATGAGTTAAAAGTGTAACTCTAGAAATCAATAATGATATCCATATACAAAATAATACCCTGGAATACGATAATCAGTTTTGTTGAACTTAAAATGAACTTGCAATGATGAAGAGTTCTTGGCCTTCTATGATGCTTATATATCGTAAATTTGTTACCGGTACATGAAATGTCTTGTACCTTGTATCTGTTCTTGTGTTTTGTAATTATTTGTTACATAAAATTTCTTGTACCATAATATGTTAAGAAATAAATGCTAAAATTCCTTTATAATACAAAAAACAAGTACCTAAATGTCAACAAAAATTTGAATTAAAAAATTAAAATGAAAGATTTTTTCCCCTGAATATTTGGACCAAAAACATTGGTGCGCATTATACATGGCAAAATATGGTACAAATATAGTGTGAAGATTTGTGAAATGCTAGAATAGACTAGCAGATGGGATATGCATATGTCTGCTCTAAAAACTACACTAAAATATGTACAGATACCCAATGGGCACCAAGATCAAATACAATCAAGGCATTTTGCTCAGAAATAAAAAATGTTTATCATATGCTAAAATATATAATATGAAATGACAAAATACATTATTCTGAAATCGAAAGCATTTTGGTAAAAATAGATTACAAATTTGTATGCAACTTATCTGTGTGGGGTGATATTTTGAACCAATTAGGACAAGTTAATAAAGCTCTATAGTAAAAAAAAAAAACCAACCCATGACTATATAAAAAACTGCATGCTTAATAGAAGGCTTATCCCACTGCTTACAACAAATAAGAGAATGTAAATTTGAAAGAAATTTTGCTGAATATACAACTTAGCACAAGATATGAATATGCTTATCACAATTTAAAATAAACTAAGAAGGATAGTACAGAAACTAGAAATGTATGAAGCACTGTTTGAAAGTATCACTTATTATTGAAAAAGTGCATATTGAGGCTGGCCGGATGGCGCCGTTGGTTACGAGTGCAAGCTCTGAGCAACAAGGTTGTCAGTTCGATTCCCACATGGGCCAGTGACCTGCGCCCGAGCTGAACTGCTGCTGAGCTGTGGCGAACAGGCGGTTAGATGGCTCAGCTGGTGAGAGTGCATGCTCTTAACAAGGTTGCCGGTTCGACTGCCACATGGGATGGTGAGCTGCACCCCCCAACCCCACAACTAGATTGACAGTGGCGACGGGACTTGGAGCTGAGCTTCTGCCCTCCACAACTAGGATTGAAGGAAAACAACTTAACTTGAAGTTGATGGGTACTTAAAAAAAAATGTTCCCCTTCCCCAATTCCCCAATAAAATTTAAAAAAAAGGGGGGGCCGGCCGAGTGGCACGATGGTTAAGAGCTGGCTTGGGACGCCAGAGGGCCCCAGTTCGGATCCCACATATGAGGGCCAGTGACACTGCCCTTTACAGCTAAG